GCCGCCGCGGCCCCCCACGTGCCTGCCCCAGGCTCTGGTATCACAGCAGGCCGGCGCGGGTCGGGGGCTCCGGGGGAGGCATGTTGGGAAGGCCGTGCCGTCCCCCGCCAACGATACCCGCCGCCCAGGTTTCTCCCCAGGCCAGAAGTCGGGGAAAGCGCCAGGCCAGGCCAGGGAGCACACAGGAGCCTGCAGAGGGGGGCTGTTCACCCAGAAACAGAGCGGAGGGAGCGTTGACCTGTCGGGCAGCAGCCCGGTTCCCTTTGCAGCGCCAGGAACGGGGAGCGTAAGCGCCAGGCCAGGGCAGGGAGCACACAGGAGCCTGCAGAGGGGGGCTGTTCACCCAGAAACAGAGCGGAGGGAGCGTTGACCTGTCGGGCAGCAGCCCGGTTCCCTTTGCAGCGCCAGGAACGGGGAGCGTTTGCCAGGAGCGCCCGGCCTCGCGCCTCCCGGCCTCTCTGCGCGGAGGGGCCGCTGTCTCCCCCCAGGGGAGCAACCACCCCAGGACGCAGCCCGCGGGTTCCTGCGGGGAGGGGCTGAGGATGCAGGCGTGGAGCCAGTGGCATCCCGAAGGCCCCAGGCCAGGACACCCCTTCCAGCCGGGCGGCCCGAAGCGGCCGCGTGCTACCCCCAGGCCGAGCCTGGCAGCAGGCTGTCTTTCCCCGTATTCGCCCTTCTGACCGAGGGACTTGCTCAGCGCAAGCCGCCCCGTAGGACTGAGCCCTCGGCAGGGCCTGGGTCTGGGAGCTTCCACTCCTTGAGCCCGAGCCAACGACTGGTGGTGCGAGCAGACTCAGTAATCTCCGTTGTGGGCCAAGCACTTGAAGGGGACCATGATCCCCTCTCTCTTCGTGGGGGTTACGCAGAGATAACCCCGCCCCCTCGGGGCACCTAGGCCAGCAGCAGCGTTCCCTCTCATTTTTGTCCATCCACGTGCAGAATAATTTTTGTTCTGTGCACCGAGGCATGTGCGGATGTGCACCACCAGTAGAAACACACGCTGCCGGCTGTGGGCACTTTGCTAACCAGCTGGGCGGCACGTGAATCTCTCCTGGGCAGTCGCCCAAGTGCTCAGCAGCCGGCAGCCCGGAGAGAAACACACTGCAGGCACCAGGAAGCAACGGTGGCTCGGCTAGCTGTGAGCCGCCGTGCGAGGACCTGTCCGGAGAGCAACTGATGTTCAGGGAGGTGCTCAAGGAACTCGGGGAGCTGGGCCCAAAGCAGCTTCCCTCCACCTGGGGGAGGGGGGGTATTGGATGCCCGGGCACAAATCCCACAACCAGAGAACTGAACAAGGCAACGGCTGGTAATTGTCATTAGTGCTGGGGCTTTGCTGAGCCTGCCCCGCGCGTGCAGGGCCCTTTCCCAACCGAAAAGGCCCATCCCTGCTCCCCCGAGCTCCCTCAGAGCAGGGTTGCCAGGTGTCTGGTTTTCGCCCGGACAGTTCGGTATTCGGGTCCCCTGTTCGGTTAAAAAAAAAAAAACAGAAAATACCGACATGTGAAACGTCTGGTATCTCCTGTTTCCCTCAGACGGAAGCCTGGCGGGGACAATTTTCCCCTGCCACATCTGGTAGGGGTGGGGGAGAGAGGAGTCATTTAAAGGTGCAGCACCCCCTTTTTTTAAAAAAAAAACAACTTTGGTCTCCCCCTTTTCCCCCCCCAACATAATTCCTCCCCCCTTTTTTTGCGGTGGGAGGGAGGTGTTTGGTATTTTTTGTTAAACCATCTGGTAACCCTAACAGAGAGAGAGCCCCAAGACTCCCACCAGTGAAGGGTAGAGGGAAAGGGGCAGCCAGGTTAGGGGTGGGTCATGCGCTGGTAGCACAAAGTGTTACTGGCACGAGGGGGCGGGGGGACGAGAGTCGATTTGTGTCTCAGACAGACCCCGATTGCCCCCCAACCGCGCTGGCCTGGGGGCTCTCAGGCGTCGCAGCAAGGGGGTGGGATTCCATACGGAGCCAGAAGTGGCGATCCCCTCGACACCCCGCCCCAGAGAATCAGAGCCGGGAAAGACCCCCCTGGATCTCCAACCCCTGGCCCCAGGCTGTGCAAGACCGTGGCCTACAGACGGATCCCCCTGCCTGCTACTTTGCTGCTCTCTCCTGGCAGCACCAGCCGGAAGAACGGCCCAGCAGGAGCAAGGATTCTGCACAGGCCCCGCAGCCCTGAGTCCTCGCTGGCACTCGCTCCGGCCGAGATCCAAACCTCACTCTCCTCCGTGGTGCCCCAAGCAGAAGCCCAGCCCCACCGGGGCTCACAAGGCTTCCTATGTCGGCGGCTGCTGCTAAGATGGGGCCTCGTTTGCTCTCCCCCCCCTTTGGAAGCGTTTCTCTCTGGTGCGAAGCAGGAAGAGGGCAGACGCCCTGGCCGGTCGGGCGTGGCGCCCAGCGAAACGCTCCGTGCCTGTCCCACGGAGGCGACGCCCGAGAGATGCTCCCAGGCAAAGCCCCCGGCTCTCTGGCCCACATCCTGCAATGGGCTCGGCGCGGATACGGCCCCGTGCTCAAGACCGCGCATCCTGGAATGAACTAGCAGGCCCACACGCATGGATCCCACATGCAGGATTAGGACCTAAAGTCTCTGGTCTCTAGAAGCACCAGTGAAAGGCAAATGCAAATACTTTTTAATGAGAACAGATTACGGGAGGGGGGTGGGGAGGAACGCTCCTTCGTCAACTAGCTTCATAACCAATAAATCCCGATAAGAACTTGAACTCAAAGCTAATGAGCAAGAGGGTTTAGGAATTGTGATTATTTCTGATTATTGGGCTTTAATGAAAGACGTGACGGAGTTGCTAGGGTTTAATTGACCGAACCAGCATAGAACGCATTCAGTTCACGGGGAAATTCCAACGCTGTGCACCGTGGCAATGTGCCAATTCCAGCGGTAGTCTCAGTGTGGGGCTGACCTATGCAAATGATGGGGCCCAATCCTGGACCTAATCACAACCGTAGCATCTAGTTCTTCTCTAATGCGTCCCATCAGTGGAGCTCAAAGCACTTTACCACGGGAATCAGGATCATTCGCCCTATTTTACAGATGGGGAAACTGAGGCAAGGAGTGGGTACTGGCCTTACCCAAGTTCTCCCAGCAGACCATTGGCTGAGGCGGGACTAGACTCAAAGGGCTTGTCCAGCGTCCTGTCCACGAGGCGAGGGGCGAGGTTTGTATTTGTAGCCTATGACTGACTCACACAGTACGTGGTGAATTCACCAGCAACTGTAAGAGGGGCCAGTTAAGAGAGGTGGATGAAATTCAGCCATGCCGCCCAGTGAGGTCCATTAGGCTGCAGGGTGGGGGGCCCTACGGCAGAACGACGCACCAGAGGATACCCTGGAAGGCCCAACCTTGCCTGGCCAAGGAGGGAGGTGGTGACTTAACAGGACTTGCCCGTCTTTACTTACAATGATCCAGGGAGCGACTTACGCCCTGTCTCTGCAAGAGGGGCGAGAGGCTTTCCGCTTAGGTCGCAAACGGAGACCCGCGGCCAGTCTACTCCAGCCATTTAGCATCCCAGCCAGCCCTGTGGTTCATCGGGGACCCACCTCGTGTGCGTCTCAGTGGATCAAAGGAGCGTTCATTTCGCCACCCAAGTGCCGCGTCCCATCTAGCGCGAGGCACGAAACGTGAGCATCGTTGCTGTGTTTCCTCTTTATAGTAGGTGCATTGTCAGCAAAGGCGAATGGGGCCGGGGGTCTCACCACGTGTCTACACACACGCTGTGCGCACAGCAACCGACGCACGGAGAACTCTGAGCAACAGGCAGTCCGTCAAAAGTCAAAAACTTGGTTTTGCAGCTTCTTTGGCCCCTCCGGGGACTGCACGTCTAACCCCAAGCGAGTTCAGAACGCTGCTCTCGCGGCACCATTCACGGAACGACCCGCGCCTCATTCCAGCGCTGGGAGACTGCAGATGTCCACTGCTTCGCCCACAAACTCCCGGCTTCGTCAGCCCCTAACGAGCTGCGGAGCTCCCGGGGGAGCGTTTGCAGAGCATCCTCTTCCGAGACGGCAGCGCTGGTCCGTGTCTCCCTGCCGTTGCTTGGGACCCCTGGAGAAGAGTGACCCAAAAGCAGATCTGGGCTCCCTCCCCTCCAGCTGCTCGTTCCTCCCCAGAGCTGATCGCTCATCTGTGGGGCGTCTCCGTCCTCGCCAGCGCACTGGGAAAGCCCCTGGCACCACTGGGCTTTGCTCTGTTACAATCCAGGGAGAGACTCTGAGCTGGCCCGGGGCCTTTAAGTGAGGCAGGGGCAGGGCGAGCACATGAAACTGAGCCACAGAAAGTCGTGTTTGGAGGCTGGGAGGTGGCACCCCGAGAGGTGAGAGCAAGGAACCAGGAGTCAGAGGATGCAGATTCTGTTGCTTCCCACAGCAAGTCCGTGGCCCAGCTAGGAAGACTTAAAGTGGCTCCGACAGTGATGGTAAAAAAACGGGACCTCCTTGCTCAATAGACCTGTCCCTTGTGGACTCCGAGCACCCCCTGCCTCCGCCCCAAACAAGCCCCATCTCTCTCCCGTTCGCCTTGCTGAGCCCCAGCAGCCGAGAGAGTGGGAGCTGGATTCTGTTCCAGCTCACGCATCATCAGCAGAACAGCCAAGTCCACCAGGACGTGCAGACTTTATTTCCACCTGCCCCTCCCCTGTCTAGGACTCCTGCCGACCATGTGTGAGCCTCCGAGCACAGGCTGAGTGTGCAAGACAGGCCATGAAGGGGGCAGATCCTTCTGGCTGGTCTGCTGAGCGTGTCTGATCTGGGCTGGCTGAGAGAGAACAGATGTGGAACTCCCCACGGTCTGCTTTAGAGTCGCCGTCCAGAGCAGATTTGTCTCCCCATCTCGTTGGGGCTCCACTCCCGATTTTAAACGGGGATGACAACAATCACCTCTCTTTGCAACACTCCGAGAGAGGCCCTGGGCTGGGAATCAGGAGACCTGACTATGCCACTCAGGCAAATTGGTCCCCATGCTGTGCCTCAGTTTCCCCTTCCCTGCGCTTTAAATATTTGGCCCCAGCTGGGCACTTCCATGCCTTTCAAAATCTGTCCCATTGCCTCTCTGGATTGCAAAGACTTCAGCGCAAGCACGCCGCAAATCTGTCGACCGGCCCCAAACACAAACGCGGCAGGAGGAACCCAGAGAGCAGCCTCGCTCCAGCTCCCCCATAGCAGCAGAGCGGCCGTGGCGTGCGTTCCCGCCGGGGCCAGGCACCTGTGGCTTTCAGACACCCACCCGTTGCAGATCCCTGCAACCTGCTCGGCCCCCTGCTGCCGGAGCCCCCCGCTGCCGAGTCCCCCCCGCCCCCTCACCTGATGTTCCCCAGAATGGCGATGATGAGCCCGAGTGCCAAGCCGTGCGCCAGGGCGGGCTGCAGCCTCCCGGTGCCGTCCACGTTCTCGATCACCGAGGCGCACCCGATGAAGATGAACAGCGCCGAGCCCAGGAGCTCGGCCACACAGGGCTGGACGTACAGCTCGTACCAGTGGGGCTGCGGCGGCTTGTACTTCCCCTCCATTTCCACCTCCTTGATGGACATGCGGCCGAACTCAAGCCGTGCGCCAGGGCGGGCTGCAGCCTCCCGGTGCCGTCCACGTTCTCGATCACCGAGGCGCACCCGATGAAGATGAACAGCGCCGAGCCCAGGAGCTCGGCCACACAGGGCTGGACGTACAGCTCGTACCAGTGGGGCTGCGGCGGCTTGTACTTCCCCTCCATTTCCACCTCCTTGATGGACATGCGGCCGAACTCCAGGTCTGACATGAGGGGGCTGCGAGGGGAACAGGCAGAGCTTGGCTGGATGCACCACGCAACTGACACCGCCCAGCAACGCGCGCAATTCAGAGCCATCCCGCCACGACCGCTGCGCTTCCCTCCCCCAGGGACAGCCCGCTCCCAAAGCCAGGCGCGAGCTCTTCCCATTACCCATTAGTGCCTCCCAGAGGGAAGAGACACGGGCGAGGTGCCAGCAGGGACCTCTGCTCCACGCCAGCGAAAAGGGGCTGGAAGGCAGAAATTCGGGGAGGGGGGTTCAAATGCCTTCGCTGCACGGAGGTACTTACTGCGAGCGCTCTGTTCTGGGAGCCGCAGCGACCTGACGCCTGCAGGACCCGGGCCGCAGTGATCACACCGCACCTTGAGGAATAGCTTATCTAGCGCATGGAAATATTGGAACGCTTCCCTGCTTGACCTGCACGGAGACACGGCATCTGGGAGGCTTTGCAAAACAAAAAAAAAAAGTTGGAATGGATTTACATTGTTAAAAAAAAATGCCATAAAATCCGCGGGGCGGGCCCTGCGGCTCCTGGGAGTAGGAAAGCCACTTATCTCACCCGTTCTATGGTTCAAGGATTTGCTGCGTTTTTCTGCCAAGCTGGAGGAGCCGCGTCCCTCCGTGTGAAGTGCAGAGTACAACCCGCGTCAGCGCCGCTTGGCGGGACAATGGGGCTGACGCGCGGGGCGGAACGTGCCTTTCGCACACCTGTGCTGGCTCCCGCTCCCAGGGCCCGTGCGCCCGCGGGGGGCACAGCACGGCCGGCCCGGGGGGACGGG